TGATTTTGTACGCTTGCCCACTGACAAAGACATGAGCAGTCTATAATTTTAATGGTAGGTTTATTTGAACAGTGAGAGACAGAATAACAACAAAAAAATCCAGAAAAATGCATGTCAAAAATGTTATAAATTGATTTGCATTTTAATGAGGGAAATAAGTATTTGTCCCCTCTGCAAAACATGACTTAGTACTTGGTGGCAAAACCCTTGTTGGCAATCACAGAGGTCAGACGTTTCTTGTAGTTGGCCACCAGGTTTGCACACATCTCAGTAGGGATTTTGTCCCACTCCTCTTTGCAGATCTTCTCCAAGTCATTAAGGTTTCGAGGCTGACGTTTGGCAACTCGACCCTTCAACTCCCTCCACAGATTTTCAATGGGATTAAGGTCTGGAGACTGGCTAGGCCACTCCAGGACCTTAATGTGCTTCTTCTTGAGCCACTCCTTTGTTGCCTTGGCCGTGTGTTTTGGGTCATTGTCATGCTGGAATACCCATCCACGACCCATTTTCAATGCCTTGGCTGAGGGAAGGAGGTTCTCACCCAAGATTTGACGGTACATGGCCCCGTCCATCATCCCTTTGATGCGGTGAATTTGTCCTGTCCCCTTAGCAGAAAAACACCTGCAAAGCATAATGTTTCTACCTCAATGTTTGACGGTGGGGATGGTGTTCTTGGGGTCATAGGCAGCATTCCTCCTCCTCCAAACACGGCGAGTTGAGTTGATGGCAAAGAGCTCGATTTTGGTCTCATCTGACCACAACACTTTCACCCAGTTCTCCTCTGAATCATTCAGATGTTCATTGGCAAACTTCAGACGGGCCTGTATATGTGCTTTCTTGAGCAGGGGGACCTTGCGGGCGCTGCAGGATTTCAGTCCTTCACGGCGTAGTGTTTTACCAATTGTTTTCTTGGTGACTATGGTAACAGCTGCCTTGAGACCATTGACAAGATCCTCCCGTGTAGTTCTGGGCTGATTCCTCACCGTTCTCATGATCATTGCAACTCCACAAGGTGGGATCTTGCATGGAGCCCCAGGCCGAGGGAGATTGACAGTTATTTTGTGTTTCTTCCATTTGCGAATAATCGCACCAACTGTTGTCACCTTTTCACCAAGCTGCTTGGCGATGGTCTTGTAGCCCATTCCAGCCTTGTGTAGGTCTACAATCTTGTCCCTGACATCCTTGGAGAGCTCTTTGGTCTTGGCCATGTTGGAGAGTTTGGAATCTGATTGATTGATTGCTTCTGTGGACAGGTGTCTTTTATACAGGTAACAAGCTGAGATTAGGAGCACTCCCTTTAAGAGTGTGCTCCTAATCTCAGCTCGTTACCTGTATAAAAGACACCTGGGAGCCAGAAATCTTTCTGATTGAGAGGGGGTCAAATACTTATTTCCCTCATTAAAATGCAAATCAATTCATAACATTTTTGACATGCGTTTTTCTGGATTTTTGTTTGTTGTTATTCTGTCTCTCACTGTTCAAATAAACCTACCATTAAAATTATAGACTGATCATGTCTTTGTCAGTGGGCAAACGTACAAAATCAGCAGGGGATCAAATACTTTTTTTCCCTCACTGTATATAGTGTAACTTCCAGTTACTTTACACATCGCCCATTATAGGAAAGCTGAGCGGAGTTTCTTATTGATGCCTTCCAGTTACCTTACACATCGCCCATTACAGTAAAGCTGAATGGAGTTTCTTACACGCCTGGATGGTTGACTGGTTGGTTGACTGAGTCTCACCTCAGATGGCACCCCTTTCCCTTTATAGTGCACTACTTTTGACCAGGGCCCATAGGGGTTTCATAGGACTCTGGTCAAAAGTAGTGCACTATAAAGGGAATAGGGTGTTATTTGGGACGCACACTAGGTCTCACACCCTGTGACTATCCCCCCTACGGCTGGTGAGGTGCTGAGATAGAAGAAGTGTAGGCTGGTGGAAACCCCAAAGCTATGCGCTAATGTGTGAGACCCAGTCATCCATTAAGAGTTTCTGTCTAAACTACAGTATGGTAGATGGTCTGACCCAGTCATCCATGGGGGGAGTTTCTGTCTAAACTACAGTATGGTAGATGGTCTGACCCAGTCATCCATGGGGGGAGTTTCTGTCTAAACTACAGTATGGTAGATGGTCTGACCCAGTCATCCATGGGGGGAGTTTCTGTCTAAACTACAGTACGGTAGATGGTCTGACCCAGTCATCCGACGCTGACCTTTTTTTACAAGGAGCACGTGCGAGCCTAAGTTGAAAAATGTAGACGCACACAAAACAAATGTAGGAGGACAATGGAAAATATATAAAGCTAGAATCCTTCATTATTCTAGGCACACTGGTGCTCCTAAATAAAACATTCCAGGTCGCACAGCAAAATATTTAGGTGCATATGCGAATAAAATGATCGCGCTGTAGAACCCTGATGGAGTGTCTAACTAAACGACAGAACGGTAGATGGTCTGCCCCAGTCATCCATGGGGGGAGTGTCTATCTAAACTACAGAACGGTAGATGGTCTGCCCCAGTCATCCATGGGGGGAGTGTCTATCTAAACGACAGAACGGTAGATGGTCTGCCCCAGTCATCCATGGGGGGAGTGTCTATCTAAACTACAGAACGGTAGATGGTCTGACCCAGTCATCCATGGGGGGAGTGTCTATCTAAACTACAGAACGGTAGATGGTCTGACCCAGTCATCCATGGGGGGAGTGTCTATCTAAACTACAGAACGGTAGATGGTCTGACCCAGTCATCCATGGGGGGAGTGTCTATCTAAACTACAGAACGGTAGATGGTCTGCCCCAGTCATCCATGGGGGGAGTGTCTATCTAAACGACAGAACGGTAGATGGTCTGCCCCAGTCATCCATGGGGGGAGTGTCTATCTAAACGACAGAACGGTAGATGGTCTGCCCCAGTCATCCATGGGGGGAGTGTCTATCTAAACTACAGAACGGTAGATGACTAGGTTGAAAAATCTGTCGATGTGCCCCTTGAGCAAGGCACTTAACCCTAATTGCTCCTGTAAGTCGCTCTGGATAAGAGCGTCTGCTAAATGACTAAAATGTAAAATGTAAATGTAGATGCTCTGTTAGCAGGTGAAGGAATGCCCATCCTTCTTTTTGTAGCCAGTATGTGTTAGGCTGCTGTCAGATCTGTGCTTGTTTGACTTGACAATGACAGCAATGGAGTTGGCAAGAGTTACAAAACAGATCTGGGACCAGGATAAGTATTTGTATCTAAAAATGAACGATTTGATTTCTTCATTCCTGGCCCATTTTTATTGCTGTAGTCGTATGAAATATATCTCATTTGATAATCACCATCTCTCTCTGTGAAACTGTGTGTAACAATGTCTCATTCTACCACTCTACCAGTCAGGCTAATTTCATGATCAGCCCCTTTATTGAGAATATGATATATATATTCCCCCTGTAAATAGAACACTGCTCTTCCTGTGGGGTTGACTTGGTAGTAGATTTTGGTAGAGCGTGGCGCTTGCAACGCCAGGGTTGTGGGTTCGTTTCCCACGGGGGGGGCCAGTATGAAAAATGTATGCACTCACTAACTGTTAAGTCGCTCTGGATAAGAGCGTCTGCTAAAATGACTAAAAATATAAATATGCCCCTATAGGTTGACTTGGTAGTAGAAATGCCCCTATAGGTTCATACCACTAGGTTAACTTTCCAAGGGTCATGTGACTTCCAGTCTGGTGTCACTAACACTGTTTTACCAGAAACCACATCAGACGCTGGCTGCTAATTAGGCAGACTGTGTGTGTGAGTGAGAAAGAGAGAAAGGGAGGGCGGGAGAAAGCGAGAGAGTGCGCTAGTAATAGAGGAGAGAGAGAGAGGAGAAAGAGTTCTTACTCATTAAGCGATCGACCAAGTTCAGCAAAGCACATTCTCTCTCTCTGCTGCACACACACACACACACACACACACGCACACGCACACAGCGGTACACACACATCGACACAGACACAAACAGAAAGCAGAAGTGGAGAGAGGCTCTGGGGTTTGGGGCGACGTGGTTGGCTATGGCTCACGGCTCTGACAGCAATGATTCCAGTTACGCCAAGTCCCCTTCACCAGCGGGCAGCAGGCAGGTAAGGAGATCCTCTCTCTCTCCCTCTCTCCTTCTCTTATAGCATGGGCGGCAGGTAGCTTAGTGGTTAAGAGTGTTGTGCCAGTAACCGAAAGGTCGCTGGTTCTAATCCCTGAGCCGACTAGGTGAAAAATCTGTAGATGTGCCCTTGAGCAAGGCACTTAACCCTAATTGCTCCTGTAAGTTGCTCTGGATAGGAGCGTCTGCTAAAATGACTAAAATGTAAAATGATAGCATTTATTCAGACGTGAAGTGTTATCATTGGGATGTTTAGACGTGGTAGATGACTGTTATTGTTTTGTCCATCAGCTCAGATGATGAAGGGGGAATTATAATCAGGTTTTCAATAACATATTGTTGAGGTGTCACACATCACCATCACACGACTGGTCTTTAAGGACAGGTTTAAGGTTTGCGTCTAGGAGACGTCTTCTTCCGTTAGTGTTTCGAATTTAGATTGAAATGTAGAATCACATAGAAATGTAGAATCATGCATGACAACACTGAAGAGTTTCCTTGATGACAGTTATTGGTATAGTTAGGTGTTGGTCTGGGGAATCAAAGGCCGTTTGATCAAGGGATGCGCTGATAGACTGCTGGGAAGGGATGGGTCGGGTGGGTTTGACTCGTCAGTTAACACATCAACTCAGATCACGCCTTGTTTCATGTCCTGAATACTACAGTTCTCATGGTATCAGAACAACTCAGCTTTGTAGAAATGCTGCGTCAGTCAAGTCATGCACCAAAGAGGTGTCTCATCCTAGAACTGTCAAAATTGTTATGCATGATTATACATTTTCAATCTACAATATCTATTGTATATTGGAATGAACCCTAATACTCCACCCATTAGTGTTAGTTAGTTGGGGTGGGCATCAGTTACCGTCCTGTCAGGAAGATGACTCTTCCCCGTGTCTCTCCCCAGGGCTCCTCAGACAACATAAAGAAAGTGATGAGAAGGGAGAAGAACCGTATCGCTGCCCAGAAGAGTAGAATGAGACAGACTCAGAAGGCAGACAGTCTACACCTGGTGAGGAGGACTACCCACAATGCAACACACCGATGCGTGCACCATGTCTGGCTATGAGTTAGGATGACTACCCACAATGCAACACACCGATGCGTGCACCATGTCTGGCTATGAGTTAGGATGACTACCCACAATGCAACACACCGATGCGTGCACCATGTCTGGCTATGAGTTAGGATGACTACCCACAATGCAACACACCGATGCGTGCACCATGTCTGGCTATGAGTTAGGATGACTACCCACAATGCAACACACCGATGCGTGCACCATGTCTGGCTATGAGTTAGGATGACTACCCACAATACAATACACCGATGCGTGCACCATGTCTGGCTATGAGTTAGGATGACTACCCACAATGCAACACACCGATGCGTGCACCATGTCTGGCTATGAGTTAGGATGACTACCCACAATGCAACACACCGATGCGTGCACCATGTCTGGCTATGAGTTAGGATGACTACCCACAATGCAACACACCGATGCGTGCACCATGTCTGGCTATGAGTTAGGATGACTACCCACAATGCAATACACCGATGCGTGCACCATGTCTGGCTATGAGTTAGGATGACTACCCACAATGCAACACACCGATGCGTGCACCATGTCTGGCTATGAGTTAGGATGACTACCCACAATGCAACACACCGATGCGTGCACCATGTCTGGCTATGAGTTAGGATGACTACCCACAATACAATACACCGATGCGTGCACCATGTCTGGCTATGAGTTAGGATGACTACCCACAATGCAACACACCGATGCGTGCACCATGTCTGGCTATGAGTTAGGATGACTACCCACAATGCAACACACCGATGCGTGCACCATGTCTGGCTATGAGTTAGGATGACTACCCACAATGCAACACACCGATGCGTGCACCATGTCTGGCTATGAGTTAGGATGACTACCCACAATGCAACACACCGATGCGTGCACCATGTCTGGCTATGAGTTAGGATGACTACCCACAATGCAACACACCGATGCGTGCACCATGTCTGGCTATGAGTTAGGATGACTACCCACAATGCAACACACCGATGCGTGCACCATGTCTGGCTATGAGTTAGGATGACTACCCACAATGCAACACACCGATGCGTGCACCATGTCTGGCTATGAGTTAGGATGACTACCCACTACGCCCTGTGTATGGCACCATATCTCAGCACGACTGGGCTTGGCATGAGCAATTTAGCAGTGAATCAGTTGTCGCCTGAATAAAACCAATAAACATTTCACCCATCCAGGAATCTTATAGTGTTCCAAAAAAAATACTTTGGCAGGTCACCGCAAAAGCCGATTTATAACCTGTGAAAGCCTAGCCTGGTCCCAGATCTGTTTGTGCTCTTGCCGACTCCATTGCTCATTGTCAAGCAAAACAAGGAGTGGGCATGATAGCACAAACAGATCTGGTACTCAGGCTAGTACAAGTCAGTAACCGACTGGTTATGTAGTAATCAGACATTTTCAAGTCCTTCAAATCACAGGGAACATTTCCCCTGGTGAACTACCACGATAAGGCTGTGTTGGTGGGAATCTGTGTTGGTCTGTGTGAGATGATATTGACACAGTGCTGCTGATGGACCATGTGGCGATGTGTCATCGTGGCTTCTGTTGGGCTCAACATTTAGGCTGAGTCCCAAATGGCTCCCCTACTCCCTGTATAGTGCACTACTTATGATTCTGATACCTGTGAGCTCTGGTCAAAAGTAATGCACTAAAATAAGGGATAGGGTGCCATTTGGCACGCAGCCGTGGCCAGATCTCTACCTATGTGTTTGCTGTAGTGATGAGTATTCGTTATCACGTGTGGGCGTCAGAAACCCAGAGACCAGCACTAATGATAAATTGCACTGAATCTTATCATCAGAAATGTGTTTTTCCTCCTGTTTTTACCTAGAATTCTCAACTGTGACACTAGTTCTCTGTAGTGGTAGGCTGGGCTGGTAGCAATACGACTCTACTCCACTAGTTCTCTGTAGTGGTAGGCTGGTAGCAATACGACTCTACTCCACTAGTTCTCTGTAGTGGTAGGCTGGTAGCAATACGTCTCTACTCCACTAGTTCTCTGTAGTGGTAGGCTGGTAGCAATACGATTCTACTCCACTAGTTCTCTGTAGTGGTAGGCTGGGCTGGTAGCAATACGACTCTACTCCACTAGTTCTCTGTAGTGGTAGGCTGGGCTGGTAGCAATACGACTCTACTCCACCAGTTCTCTGTAGTGGTAGGCTGGGCTGGTAGCAATACGACTCTACTCCACTAGTTCTCTGTAGTGGTAGGCTGGGCTGGTAGCAATACGTCTCTACTCCACTAGTTCTCTGTAGTGGTAGGCTGGTAGCAATACGTCTCTACTCCACTAGTTCTCTGTAGTGGTAGGCTGGTAGCAATACGTCTCTACTCCACTAGTTCTCTGTAGTGGTAGGCTGGGCTGGTAGCAATACGACTCTACTCCACTAGTTCTCTGTAGTGGTAGGCTGGGCTGGTAGCAATACGTCTCTACTCCACTAGTTCTCTGTAGTGGTAGGCTGGGCTGGTAGCAATACGTCTCTACTCCACTAGTTCTCTGTAGTGGTAGGCTGGTAGCAATACGTCTCTACTCCACTAGTTCTCTGTAGTGGTAGGCTGGGCTGGTAGCAATACGTCTCTACTCCACTAGTTCTCTGTAGTGGTAGGCTGGTAGCAGTACGTCTCTACTCCACTAGTTCTCTGTAGTGGTAGGCTGGGCTGGTAGTAATACGACTCTACTCCACTAGTTCTCTGTAGTGGTAGGCTGGGCTGGTAGCAATACGACTCTACTCCACTAGTTCTCTGTAGTGGTAGGCTGGGCTGGTAGCAATACGACTCTACTCCACTAGTTCTCTGTAGTGGTAGGCTGGTAGCAATACGTCTCTACTCCACTAGTTCTCTGTAGTGGTAGGCTGGTAGCAGTACGTCTCTACTCCACTAGTTCTCTGTAGTGGTAGGCTGGGCTGGTAGCAATACGTCTCTACTCCACTAGTTCTCTGTAGTGGTAGGCTGGTAGCAATACGTCTCTACTCCACTAGTTCTCTGTAGTGGTAGGCTGGGCTGGTAGCAATACGTCTCTACTCCACTAGTTCTCTGTAGTGGTAGGCTGGTAGCAATACGTCTCTACTCCACTAGTTCTCTGTAGTGGTAGGCTGGTAGCAATACGTCTCTACTCCACTAGTTCTCTGTAGTGGTAGGCTGGGCTGGTAGCAATACGTCTCTACTCCACTAGTTCTCTGTAGTGGTAGGCTGGGCTGGTAGCAATACGACTCTACTCCACTAGTTCTCTGTAGTGGTAGGCTGGTAGCAATACGACTCTACTCCACTAGTTCTCTGTAGTGGTAGGCTGGTAGCAATACGTCTCTACTCCACTAGTTCTCTGTAGTGGTAGGCTGGGCTGGTAGCAATACGACTCTACTCCACTAGTTCTCTGTAGTGGTAGGCTGGGCTGGTGGCAATACGTCTCTACTCCACTAGTTCTCTGTAGTGGTAGGCTGGTAGCAATACGTCTCTACTCCACTAGTTCTCTGTAGTGGTAGGCTGGGCTGGTAGCAATACGACTCTACTCCACTAGTTCTCTGTAGTGGTAGGCTGGGCTGGTAGCAATACGTCTCTACTCCACTAGTTCTCTGTAGTGGTAGGCTGGTAGCAATACGTCTCTACTCCACTAGTTCTCTGTAGTGGTAGGCTGGTAGCAATACGTCTCTACTCCACTAGTTCTCTGTAGTGGTAGGCTGGGCTGGTAGCAATACGTCTCTACTCCACTAGTTCTCTGTAGTGGTAGGCTGGGCTGGTAGCAATACGACTCTACTCCACTAGTTCTCTGTAGTGGTAGGCTGGTAGCAATACGACTCTACTCCACTAGTTCTCTGTAGTGGTAGGCTGGTAGCAATACGTCTCTACTCCACTAGTTCTCTGTAGTGGTAGGCTGGGCTGGTAGCAATACGACTCTACTCCACTAGTTCTCTGTAGTGGTAGGCTGGGCTGGTGGCAATACGTCTCTACTCCACTAGTTCTCTGTAGTGGTAGGCTGGTAGCAATACGTCTCTACTCCACTAGTTCTCTGTAGTGGTAGGCTGGGCTGGTAGCAATACGACTCTACTCCACTAGTTCTCTGTAGTGGTAGGCTGGGCTGGTAGCAATACGTCTCTACTCCACTAGTTCTCTGTAGTGGTAGGCTGGTAGCAATACGACTCTACTCCACTAGTTCTCTGTAGTGGTAGGCTGGTAGCAATACGACTCTACTCCACTAGTTCTCTGTAGTGGTAGGCTGGGCTGGTAGCAATACGACTCTACTCCACTAGTTCTCTGTAGTGGTAGGCTGGTAGCAATACGACTCTACTCCACTAGTTCTCTGTAGTGGTAGGCTGGTAGCAATACGACTCTACTCCACTAGTTCTCTGTAGTGGTAGGCTGGTAGCAATACGACTCTACTCCACTAGTTCTCTGTAGTGGTAGGCTAGTAGCAATACGACTCTACTCCACTAGTTCTCTGTAGTGGTAGGCTGGAAGCAATACGACTCTACTCCACTAGTTCTCTGTAGTGGTAGGCTGGTAGCAATACGACTCTACTCCACTAGTTCTCTGTAGTGGTAGGCTGGGCTGGTAGCAATACGTCTCTACTCCACTAGTTCTCTGTAGTGGTAGGCTGGTAGCAATACGACTCTACTCCACTAGTTCTCTGTAGTGGTAGGCTGGTGGCAATACAACTCTACTCCACTAGTTCTCTGTAGTGGTAGGCTGGTAGCAATACGACTCTACTCCACTAGTTCTCTGTAGTGGTAAGCCGGGCTGGTAGCAATACGACTCTACTCCACTAGTTCTCTGTAGTGGTAGGCTGGGCTGGTAGCAATACGTCTCTACTCCACTAGTTCTCTGTAGTGGTAGGCTGGGCTGGTAGCAATACGTCTCTACTCCACTAGTTCTCTGTAGTGGTAGGCTGGGCTGGTAGCAATACGTCTCTACTCCACTAGTTCTCTGTAGTGGTAGGCTGGGCTGGTAGCAATACGTCTCTACTCCACTAGTTCTCTGTAGTGGTAGGCTGGTAGCAATACGACTCTACTCCACTAGTTCTCTGTAGTGGTAGGCTGGGCTGGTAGCAATACGTCTCTACTCCACTAGTTCTCTGTAGTGGTAGGCTGGTGGCAATACGACTTTACTCCACTAGTTCTCTGTAGTGGTAGGCTGGGCTGGTAGCAATACGACTCTACTCCACTAGTTCTCTGTAGTGGTAGGCTGGTAGCAATACGTCTCTACTCCACTAGTTCTCTGTAGTGGTAGGCTGGTAGCAGTACGTCTCTACTCCACTAGTTCTCTGTAGTGGTAGGCTGGGCTGGTAGCAATACGACTCTACTCCACTAGTTCTCTGTAGTGGTAGGCTGGTAGCAATACGACTCTACTCCACTAGTTCTCTGTAGTGGTAGGCTGGGCTGGTAGCAATATGTCTCTACTCCACTAGTTCTCTGTAGTGGTAGGCTGGGCTGGTAGCAATACGTCTCTACTCCACTAGTTCTCTGTAGTGGTAGGCTGGTAGCAATACGACTCTACTCCACTAGTTCTCTGTAGTGGTAGGCTGGGCTGGTAGCAATACGTCTCTACTCCACTAGTTCTCTGTAGTGGTAGGCTGGTAGCAATACGTCTCTACTCCACTAGTTCTCTGTAGTGGTAGGCTGGTAGCAATACGTCTCTACTCCACTAGTTCTCTGTAGTGGTAGGCTGGTAGCAATACGACTCTACTCCACTAGTTCTCTGTAGTGGTAGGCTGGGCTGGTAGCAATACGTCTCTACTCCACTAGTTCTCTGTAGTGGTAGGCTGGTAGCAATACGTCTCTACTCCACTAGTTCTCTGTAGTGGTAGGCTGGTAGCAATACGTCTCTACTCCACTAGTTCTCTGTAGTGGTAGGCTGGTAGCAATACGACTCTACTCCACTAGTTCTCTGTAGTGGTAGGCTGGGCTGGTAGCAATACGTCTCTACTCCACTAGTTCTCTGTAGTGGTAGGCTGGTAGCAATACGTCTCTACTCCACTAGTTCTCTGTAGTGGTAGGCTGGGCTGGTAGCAATACGACTCTACTCCACTAGTTCTCTGTAGTGGTGGGCTGGTGGCAATACGTCTCTACTCCACTAGTTCTCTGTAGTGGTAGGCTGGTAGCAATACGTCTCTACTCTACTAGTTCTCTGTAGTGGTAGGCTGGGCTGGTAGCAATACGTCTCTACTCCACTAGTTCTCTGTAGTGGTAGGCTGGTAGCAATACGTCTCTACTCCACTAGTTCTCTGTAGTGGTAGGCTGGGCTGGTAGCAATACGACTCTACTCCACTAGTTCTCTGTAGTGGTAGGCTGGGCTGGTAGCAATATGTCTCTACTCCACTAGTTCTCTGTAGTGGTAGGCTGGGCTGGTAGCAATACGTCTCTACTCCACTAGTTCTCTGTAGTGGTAGGCTGGTAGCAATACGTCTCTACTCCACTAGTTCTCTGTAGTGGTAGGCTGGGCTGGTAGCAATACGACTCTACTCCACTAGTTCTCTGTAGTGGTAGGCTGGGCTGGTAGCAATACGACTCTACTCCACTAGTTCTCTGTAGTGGTAGGCTGGGCTGGTAGCAATACGACTCTACTCCACTAGTTCTCTGTAGTGGTAGGCTGGTAGCAATACGTCTCTACTCCACTAGTTCTCTGTAGTGGTAGGCTGGTAGCAATACGACTCTACTCCACTAGTTCTCTGTAGTGGTAGGCTGGGCTGGTAGCAATACGACTCTACTCCACTAGTTCTCTGTAGTGGTAGGCTGGGCTGGTAGCAATACGACTCTACTCCACTAGTTCTCTGTAGTGGTAGGCTGGGCTGGTAGCAATACGACTCTACTCCACTAGTTCTCTGTAGTGGTAGGCTGGTAGCAATACGTCTCTACTCCACTAGTTCTCTGTAGTGGTAGGCTGGTAGCAATACGTCTCTACTCCACTAGTTCTCTGTAGTGGTAGGCTGGTAGCAATACGTCTCTACTCCACTAGTTCTCTGTAGTGGTAGGCTGGGCTGGTAGCAATACGTCTCTACTCCACTAGTTCTCTGTAGTGGTAGGCTGGTAGCAATACGTCTCTACTCCACTAGTTCTCTGTAGTGGTAGGCTGGGCTGGTAGCAATACATCTCTACTCCACTAGTTCTCTGTAGTGGTAGGCTGGGCTGGTAGCAATACGTCTCTACTCCACTAGTTCTCTGTAGTGGTAGGCTGGGCTGGTAGCAATACGTCTCTACTCCACTAGTTCTCTGTAGTGGTAGGCTGGGCTGGTAGCAATACGTCTCTACTCCACTAGTTCTCTGTAGTGGTAGGCTGGGCTGGTAGCAATACGTCTCTACTCCACTAGTTCTCTGTAGTGGTAGGCTGGTAGCAATACGACTCTACTCCACTAGTTCTCTGTAGTGGTAGGCTGGGCTGGTAGCAATACGTCTCTACTCCACTAGTTCTCTGTAGTGGTAGGCTGGTAGCAATACGTCTCTACTCCACTAGTTCTCTGTAGTGGTAGGCTGGGCTGGTAGCAATACGTCTCTACTCCACTAGTTCTCTGTAGTGGTAGGCTGGGCTGGTAGCAATACGTCTCTACTCCACTAGTTCTCTGTAGTGGTAGGCTGGGCTGGTAGCAATACGTCTCTACTCCACTAGTTCTCTGTAGTGGTAGGCTGGGCTGGTAGCAATACGTCTCTACTCCACTAGTTCTCTGTAGTGGTAGGCTGGTAGCAATACGTCTCTACTCCACTAGTTCTCTGTAGTGGTAGGCTGGGCTGGTAGCAATACGTCTCTACTCCACTAGTTCTCTGTAGTGGTAGGCTGGTAGCAATACGTCTCTACTCCACTAGTTCTCTGTAGTGGTAGGCTGGTAGCAATACGACTCTACTCCACTAGTTCTCTGTAGTGGTAGGCTGGGCTGGTAGCAATACGTCTCTACTCCACTAGTTCTCTGTAGTGGTAGGCTGGGCTGGTAGCAATACGTCTCTACTCCACTAGTTCTCTGTAGTGGTAGGCTGGGCTGGTAGCAATACGACTCTACTCCACTAGTTCTCTGTAGTGGTAGACTGGTAGCAATACGTCTCTACTCCACTAGTTCTATGTAGTGGTAGGCTGGGCTGGTAGCAATACGACTGCTACTCCACTAGTTCTCTGTAGTGGTAGGCTGGGCTGGTAGCAATACGACCTCTACTCTCCACTAGTTCTCTGTAGTGGTAGGCTGGTAGCAATACGACTCTACTCCACTAGTTCTCTGTAGTGGTAGGCTGGTAGCAACTACGACTCTACTCCACTAGTTTCTCTGTAGTGGTAGGCTGGTAGCAATACGTCTCTACTCCACTAGTTCTCTGTAGTGGTAGGCTGGGCTGGTAGCAATACGTCTCTACTCCACTAGTTCTCTGTAGTGGTAGGCTGGGCTGGTAGCAATACGTCTCTACTCCACTAGTTCTCTGTAGTGGTAGGCTGGGCTGGTAGCAATACGTCTCTACTCCCACTAGTTCTCTGTAGTGGTAGGCTGGGCTGGTAGCAATACGTCTCTACTCCACTAGTTCTCTGTAGTGGTAGGCTGGTAGCAATACGTCCTATACTTCACTAGTTCTCTGTAGTGGTAGGCTGGGCTGGTAGCAATACGTCTCTACTCCACTAGTTCTCTGTAGTGGTAGGCTGGGTAGCAATACGACTCTACTCCACTAGTTCTCTGTAGTGGTAGGCTGGGCTGGTAGCAATACGACTCTACTCCACTAGTTCTCTGTAGTGGTAGGCTGGCTGGTAGCAATACGACTCTACTCCACTAGTTCTCTGTAGTGGTAGGCTGGTAGCAATACGACTCTACTCCACTAGTTCTCTGTAGTGGTAGGCTGGTAGCAATACGACTCTACTCCACTAGTTCTCTGTAGTGGTAGGCTGGTAGCAATACGTCTCTACTCCACTAGTTCTCTGTAGTGGTAGGCTGGGCTGGTAGCAATACGTCTCTACTCCACTAGTTCTCTGTAGTGGTAGGCTGGGCTGGTAGCAATACGTCTCTACTCCACTAGTTCTCTGTAGTGGTAGGCTGGGCTGGTAGCAATACGTCTCTACTCCACTAGTTCTCTGTAGTGGTAGGCTGGGCTGGTAGCAATACGACTCTACTCCACTAGTTCTCTGTAGTGGTAGGCTGGTAGCAATACGTCTCTACTCCACTAGTTCTCTGTAGTGGTAGGCTGGTAGCAATACGTCTCTACTCCACTAGTTCTCTGTAGTGGTAGGCTGGGCTGGTAGCAATACGACTCTACTCCACTAGTTCTCTGTAGTGGTAGGCTGGTAGCAATACGTCTCTACTCCACTAGTTCTCTGTAGTGGTAGGCTGGGCTGGTAGCAATACGACTCTACTCCACTAGTTCTCTGTAGTGGTAGGCTGGGCTGGTAGCAATACGTCTCTACTCCACTAGTTCTCTGTAGTGGTAGGCTGGGCTGGTAGCAATACGTCTCTACTCCACTAGTTCTCTGTAGTGGTAGGCTGGGCTGGTAGCAATACGTCTCTACTCCACTAGTTCTCTGTAGTGGTAGGCTGGGCTGGTAGCAATACGACTCTACTCCACTAGTTCTCTGTAGTGGTAGGCTGGGCTGGTAGCAATACGACTCTACTCCACTAGTTCTCTGTAGTGGTAGGCTGGGCTGGTAGCAATACGACTCTACTCCACTAGTTCTCTGTAGTGGTAGGCTGGTAGCAATACGACTCTACTCCACTAGTTCTCTGTAGTGGTAGGCTGGTAGCAATACGACTCTACTCCACTAGTTCTCTGTAGTGGTAGGCTGGGCTGGTAGCAATACGTATCTACTCCACTAGTTCTCTGTAGTGGTAGGCTGGGCTGGTAGCAATACGTCTCTACTCCACTAGTTCTCTGTAGTGGTAGGCTGGGCTGGTAGCAATACGACTCTACTCCACTAGTTCTCTGTAGTGGTAGGCTGGGCTGGTAGCAATACGACTCTACTCCACTAGTTCTCTGTAGTGGTAGGCTGGGCTGGTAGCAATACGACTCTACTCCACTAGTTCTCTGTAGTGGTAGGCTGGTAGCAATACGACTCTACTCCACTAGTTCAATCAATCAATCAATCAATTTTATTTTATATAGCCCTTCTTACATCAGCTAATATCTCGAAGTGCTGTACAGAAACCCAGCCTAAAACCCCAAACAGCTAGTAATGCAGGTGTAGAAGCACGGTGGCTAGGAAAAACTCCCTAGAAAGGCAAAACCTAGGAAGAAACCTAGAGAGGAACCAGGCTATGAGGGGTGGCCAGTCCTCTTCTGGCTGTGTTCTGGTAGCAATACGTCTCTACTCCACTAGTTCTCTGTAGTGGTAGGCTGGTAGCAATACGTCTCTACTCCACTAGTTCTCTTTATTGGTAGGCTGGTAGCAATACGTCTCTACTCCACTAGTTCTCTGTAGTGGTAGGCTGGGCTGGTAGCAGTACGTCTCTACTCCACTAGTTCTCTGTAGTGGTAGGCTGGGCTGGTAGCAATACGACTCTACTCCACTAGTTCTCTGTAGTGGTAGGCTGGGCTGGTAGCAATACGACTCTACTCCACTAGTTCTCTGTAGTGGTAGGCTGGTGGCAATACGTCTCTACTCCACTAGTTCTCTGTAGTGGTAGGCTGGTAGCAATACGTCTCTACTCCACTAGTTCTCTGTAGTGGTAGGCTGGTAGCAATACGTCTCTACTCCACTAGTTCTCTGTAGTGGTAGGCTGGGCTGGTAGCAATACGTCTCTACTCCATTAGTTCTCTGTAGTGGTAGGCTGGGCTGGTAGCAATACGACTCTACTCCACTAGTTCTCTGTATCAGAGTAGCATTGCTGATATGGCACGTGACTGGAGGTACTTGAGGTATAGTCAAAGTGAAAAGCACAGTCACTTTCATTTCAACGTTTTTTTTTGTTGATTGACTGGCTGGCTGCAGAGTCAAGGTTTTAGTCACTGACTTTCACTACTGTCGTGTCTAGTAGAGAACACCTATTTCCGTTTGTAGAAGCTACAAATACATTTAGTCTTAGCGGTTAGTGTTGCTGAAGAGAGTATTATCAATGGGAAACCATGCATTTCAGCTGAGGACCCTTTCTTCATAAGGTCTATGGTGTCATGTCAAAATCAATGCATTTGGAGCTGCTAGAAGACATCCGTGCAACTCTAACTCTCGAGAAAATATGTCTGTAATTTAATAGAATGCTGGTCGGATATAGTTTTTTCAGTGGTTTTTAAAGACTATCATTCATCTACAACAATTCTTGCTCTGAGGTCCTCATGTATGTATATACATGTTCCGTTACAGAGTGGGCCTGCATATTATCAGGCCCAGATGATCAAGGTACAAGCTCTGCATGCTCGTGGGTAACGATGGCCTTTTAGTCCCAGAGGTGTGGGAAACAAAACAGGTTAGACAGAAATGTTCCACTTGTTGGTTCCTCTAAAAAGGTCAAGACAGGGGCCAGGTTAAGAGGAGGGAAGATAAGACTGTTATGCCATGTGGTCTTACTTTCAGAGACAGGCCTGGGTAAACCCCAGTGCTCACGTCACTTAGGCTAACAACCCACTGACACGGGTCCTTTACCAGAAATTACAGCCGTTCTCCCCACTCCTGCCCACGGCTTTCTACTATACCTCATTTACACAGAAGAGAGAGAGAGAGAGTCTTCTGAACGACTATTACTCAGGAAACAGGAAACGTGTCACAGTGAGCGAAAATTCAACTTCCTGTTTATCAAGCGAGTTGAAGAAACCATACAACCACAGAATACGCTGAGCCCTCTCATGCTCTGGTGAGGCCTGGGCTGAGCCAACACGGGAGTGGCAGGTAGCCTGGCGGGTAGGAGCATTGGGCCAGTAACCGAAAAGGTTGCTGGATCGAATCCCAGAGCTGACAAGCTAAAAAATCTGTTGAATCTGCCCCTGAGCAAGGCAGTTAACCCACTGTTCCCAGGGCGCTGATGACGTGGATGTCGATTTAGGGCATCCCCCCCCCCCACCCCCCCCCCCTCCCCCCCGCACCTCTCTGATTCAGAGGGGTTGGGTTAAATGCGGAAGACACATTTCAGTTGAATGCATTCAGTTGTACAACTGACTAGATATCCCCCTTTCCTTCCCCCCCTCCCCTCACATGCTCTGGTGAGGCCTGGGCTGATGGATAAGTCTCACAGAACTAGACCAGGTGGGATGGTTTGCATAGAATGGAATCACATGATCTGGATCTACCAACCGCATCCTGGGTTTTCACTAAAATGATTGGAAGATAATTTGTTGACAAATGAATGAAAGTGGCTTTGTTTTTTATCCGCAGCGACAGACTGATGATGCCTCGGTTGTAAAAAAAATAAGCGGTCGATGTCCGCGCCCCCCGCTGAAATCGAATTAACATAATACACAAATCCCCAACAAAATCCGTCAGTTTGAGCTGGAGATACATTAGCTTGACTTTTTTACAGATCCTCAGTTGAAAAAATGAATGGAATTATATATGCAGATTGTTCACTGTAAAAAAAATAAGGGGTTAAATACATCAAAAATAAAATTACAAATGAGGCCAAATACCATGGGACCACGCAGCCGTCATACCGCTCAGGAAGGAGACGCGTTCTGTCTCCTAGAGATGAACGTACTTTGGTGCGAAAAGTACAAATCAATCCCAGAACAACAGCAAAGGACCTTGTGAAGATGCTTGAGGAAACAGGTACAAAAGTATCTATATCCACAGTAAAACAAGTCCTATATCGACATAACCTGAAAGGCCGATCAGCAAGGAAGAAGCCACTGCTCCAAAACCGCCATAAAAAAGCCAGACTACGGTTTGCAACTGCACATGGAGACAAAGACCGTACTTTTTGGAGAAATGTCCTCTGGTCTGATGAAACAAAAATAGAACTGTTTGACCATAATGACCATCGTTATGTTTGGAGGAAAAAGGGGGACGCTTGCAAGCCAAAGAACACCATCCCAACCGTGAAGCACGGGGGTGGCAGCATCATGCTGTGGGGGTGCTTTGCTGCAGGAGGGACTGGTGCACTTCACAAAATAGATGGCATCATGAGGAAGGAAAATTATGTGGATATATTGAAGCAACATCTCAAGACATCAGTCAGGAAGTTAAAGCTTGGTCGCAAATGGGTCTTCCAAATGGACAATGACCCCAAGCAAACTTCCAAAGTTGTGGCAAAATGGCTTAAGGACAACAAAGTCAAGGTATTGGAGTGGCCATCACAAAGCCCTGACCTCAATCCTATAGAAAATGTGTGGGCATAACTGAAAAAGCATGTGCGAGCAAGGAGGCCTACAAACCTGACTCAGTTACACCAGCTCTGTCAGGAGGAATGGGCCAAAATTCACCCAATTTATTGTGGGAAGCTTGTGGATGGCTACCCGAAACATTTGACCCAAGTTAAACAATTTAAAGGCAATGCTACCAAATACTAATTGAGTGTATGTAAACTTCTGACAAACGGGGAATGTGATTAAATAAATAAAAGCTGAAATAAATCATTCTCTCTACTATTATTCTGACATTTCACATTCTTAAAATAAAGTGGTGATCCTAACTGACCTAAGACAGGGAAGGAATTTTTACTAGGATTAAATGTCAGAAATTGTGAAAAACTGAGTTTAAATGTATTTATTTGGCTAAGGTCTATGTAAACTTCAGACTTTAACTGTACATTTGATTGATTGATTAGTTTCTGTGGTTTCAGGAGAGTGAGAACCTGGAGAAGGAGAACACAGCTCTGAGGAAGGAGGTGAAGAGACTAACAGAAGAGGCCAAGTATCTCTCCTCCGTCCTGACTACCCATGAGCCTCTCTGCACCGGCCTGGCCCCTCAGACGACCCATGACCTCCTGTACCCCCCCCATCACCACGGGAGCAGTGCCTTCCACCACCAGCACAGCATCGCTGTGTCGCACTACCAGCACTGATCACCACAGACCAACAGGGGGTGCTAAAGAGAAGCTAGAGAAGTTTACTGACCTTGGTACACCATGGAACCCTATTTCCTACATAGTGCACTACTTTCTACCAGAGTCCTATGGGTCAAAAGTCGTGTACTATATAGAGCCACTTGAACAGAATGTCTAGAGGTTCGAGTAAAGACTGGTGTTTGAAACAGCACAGAACAGGCAGCACTTAGGAATGGTTTCTTGGTGTAAAATAAACTGATTTTCTTATTTTGAAAGATGACTAAGGCACATCAATATAAAATGACTTCCAAACCTATCTCTATGACGTGAATGTAGAATCAATCAATGCATTGACAATGCAAATAGTCTACTATAGGACAGAAAACCAACATGATCGATACCAGAACACCAGTTTGTGGAAATGTTTCTTGTACTCTATTCATACAATGATGAATGATAACATTCCATGTATTTTTATTTTTTATTTTTTATCTTTCGTATATTTCCTTTGGTCCCTCCAATCTTGGAGGTTAAAATGTTTTTGTGCATTGCTCTTGCATGAGGTTGTGTGTCAGTTGTTCTAGATTTGACCTTTTTAAATATTTGAAGTAACGCTGAACTGTATCATTGTTCCCACATTTTCAACAGTTTTGTTATTTTAGTGTTGTTGTCCTAAAAACGTGTAATAGTGCAATTGTTTTACTAGAAATACTCAGGATATTATCCCACATCGTATATGATAACGACAGGTTATTTTTGATGGAGGTAGAGGGCATTGATAAATCGTGCTTTAATGACTCCCTGAAATGGAAAATATTATCGTCGAAACAAACAATGCTGCTTTTCTAGTTTGATACCAACAAATGTATTATCTGCATCATGTAAGTGCTATCTGACAACCAGACAATCACTTTGATAACTAAATCTTAATTTTTGTCTCTATTGTTCATCTATATGGTCGCTAGGTGGCGCTGTGTACCTATAAGTAACGGTAAGGTACAGTAAAGCGTTGTATGCTCCAACATGATTGTTTCTCTTATTGCGCTGTGGCAGGAGGATTTACACTGTCTTTAGTTTACCATAAGTAGTATTGTGATTGTACTTTTTGAATATTTTCTGTTGTATTGAAAAGTATTTTATTTTATTTTATAGCGTCTTACTGTACATTTAGAAATAAAGTTAGAAAAAAAATGGAAATGCAAATAGTGAATTTGAGACGTGAGCCTCATGTTTTTAAGCCAAGGCTTGCTTACATTTTCTTGTTAAATGTTTTGTTGCATTGTCGAGAAGGAATCTGCAAGTAAACATTTGGTTGGACGGTGTATACCATGTGTATCCTGTACATACGAGTCGACTAATGAATCTTCAAACTAACATGATCAATTCTATTGTAATTCCAGAGCCATATTCCATTCTATTATTGGGCCAGTGGATAGTGCTTTGCGTATCTGTGTTGTATAGCCTGTGCCACCAACCGCAAAAAAATAGCATTTTGGCATGGAGAGTGGAATAACTTTAGACTGTAATACTCTCTCAATGGCAAAATGCTATTTTTATATGTATGTCTGAGGGCGGGGGACCAAAGAAGTCGGATGTTCGGGTGCAAGATGTAGCTCCCCCCGGTGTTGTCCAGTGCCACATTTCAACCCAGACGGCGGTGACGTAAAACCGGCGTTTACATCGGACGACGCTGACCTGAGTGACATATAGCCACACGTTATATTTTTAGACACATTTAGGGCTATATAGCTATGTATATTGAGTTCAAACGGCTTGTGAAAGTAGGCTATTGTTTTGTCAACTCCAGCACACGAAGAACTGCAGGAAGTGAGGATATGTAGGCTAACTTGTAATGTAGCAAGGTTTGAGTGTGGTGTCTAAAACCTTTGCGCGAACTTCGAATTATTTCATGGTTTCGCTAACTAACTTCATTTTATCTCAGGGAATGACTTTGCTTTAAAACGACTTTATTTGCTAAAGTGGCATAATCAATAGAAACCGGTGTCAAGTTGTAGTTTGATTGGCGAACTTCGAGAGGTGGTGTAGCTGGCTTGTTTTAAATGTCCCAAAACTACATTTATTTTCCAAAGGTCTGGGAGCGGTCGTAGATAGTCAGGCTACTCTGAACTCTCACTGAAATGTAACAGAAATACGTGTCTGTATTGTATTCATCAGCACGTCTTTGAATAAAACGTAAACTGCAATATGAGCAGCGGAAAACCCTCCTTGGTTGATGGCGAAATCAACGACAATCAAAATGTGTCGGATTTGGGAAAAAATAAAATAATGTCTGCGGGTGACAGCGAGGAGGTACAACTCAACCGGAACGGCGACGATACAACCCAAACCATCAAACTATACAAACGGCGATGGTTCATCGTGTTGCTATTCAGCTCGTACTCTCTCTGCAACTCGTTTCAATGGATCCAGTACGGAATTATCAACAACATTTTCATGAAGTTCTACGGGGTAGAGTCTTTCACCATAGACTGGATGTCAATGATATACATGTTGACTTACATTCCCTTCATATTCCCAGTCACCTGGCTACTGGATAAGAAGGGTCTCCGTGTTATTGCGCTAGTGGCTACGGCCATGAATTGTGCGGGGACTTGGATCAAGGTGACCAGCGTGAGACCGGACCTGTTCGCGGTCACCATGCTCGGACAGTTCTGCTGTTCCCTGGCGCAGGTGTTTATCCTCGGGATGCCGTCGAAGATCGCCTCGGTGTGGTTCGGATCGGAGGAAGTGTCCACCGCTTGCTCCATCGGGGTCTTTGGAAACCAGGTAAGTTATGTAGTCTAAGATCCAATAAGTTGAAAAGTAATTGCAAATATAGCTATTTGATTATGCAATTACAATGTAATTTTGCAATGTGTTATCTGAATGTCCCAGATTACTCCACCCAGGTGTCCATTTGACCCAGTTGCGTATTGCGCATGACTCTCAAGCCACTACTGGTCTATATTGGTCAGTTGGTCATCTCTCATCCTCTGCCCTCAAAAGTGGAAGGTCAATGTCATCACATACAGTGCCTTCAGAAAGTATTCACACCCCTTGACTTTTTCCACATTTTGTTGTGTTACAGGGCTGAATTTAAAATTGATTAAATTGAGATGTTGTGTTACTGGTTTACACACAATAACCCATAATGTCAAAGTGGAATTATGTTTTTAGAAATGTTGACAAATTTAATTAAAAATAAAAAGCTGAAATAAGTATTCAACCCCTTGGTTATGGCAAGCCTAAATAAGTTCAGGAGTAAAAATGTGCTTAATAAGTTGCATGGACTCACTCTGTGTGCAATAATAGTGTTTAATATGATTTTTGAATGACTACCTCATCTCTGTACCCCACACATACAATTATCTGTAAGGTCCCTCAGTCCAGCAGTGACTTTCAAACAGATTCAACCACAAAGACCAGGGAGGTTTTCCAATGCCTCGCAAAGAAGGGCACCTATTGGTAGATGGGTAAAAAAAAAGCACACATTGAATTTCCCTTTGAGCATGGTGAAGTTATTAATTACACTTTAGATGGTGTATCAATACACCCAGTCACTACAAATATACAGGTGTCCTTCCTAACTCAGTTGCTGGAGAGGAAGGAAACCGCTCAGGAGTTTCACCAGGATGCCAATGGTGACTTTAAAACACAGAGTTGAATGTCTGTGATAGGAGAAAACTGAGGATGGATCAACAACATTGTAGTTACTCCACAATACTAACCTAAATTACAGAGTGAAAAGAAGGAAGTCTGTACAGAATAAAAATATTCCAAAACATGCATCCTGTTTGCAATAAGGCACTAAAGTAAAACTGCAAAAAATGTGGCAAAGTAATTACCGTTATGTCCTGAAAACAAAGCGTTATGTTTGAGGCAAATCTAACACATCACTGAGTACCACTTTTAATACTTTCAAGCATGGTGGTGGCTGCATCTTGTTATGGGTATGCTTGTCATCGGCAGGGACTAGGGAGATTTTTTTTAATAATAAGAAATGGAATAGAGCTAAGCACAGGCAAAACTCTAGACAAACCTGGTTGTCTGCTTTCCAACGGACACTGGGAGACAAATTCACCTTTCAGCAGGACAATACCTTAGAACACACTGGAGTTGATTACCAAGACACATGGAATGTTCCTAAGTGGCCTAGTTACAGTTTTGACTTAAAATCGGCTTCAAAATCTATGGCAAGACTTGAAAATGGCCGCCTAGAAATGATTTTAAAAAACAACTTGACAGAGCTTGAAGGCGTGTCGGCCAGCAACGCCTTCACATGGCTGCAGTACGGCATCGTTGGCAACGTCTTCATGCGTTTCTACAACATCGACGAGCTGGCCCTCGATTGGCTCTCCTATGATCTACTTCCTGTCTTACATCCCGCTCATCCTGCCCATCCTCTGGTTGCTAGACAACCGCGGAATTCAGGGACGTGGTGATGGCTGGCGCGGCATCAAGACAGGTAGTGCTAGACCGGACATGTTTCTGCTGATGTTCTTCGGTCAGTTTGTGCTCGGTCGGTACGGTGTTCATCCTGGGGATCCCCTCTGTCCTGGCCTCCACCTGGTTTGGTAAAGTGAGGTCTCCACTGCCTGCTCCACAGGAGTGCTGGGAACACTGCCTGCTCCACAGGAGTGCTGGGAACACTGCCTGCTCCACAGGAGTGCTGGGAACACTGCCTGCTTCACAGGAGTGCGGGGAACACTGCCTGCTCCACAGGAGTGCTGGGAACACTGCCTGCTCCACAGGAGTGCTGGGAACACTGCCTACTCCACAGGAGTGCTGGGAACACTCCCTGCTCCACAGGAGTGCTGGGAATACCGCCTGCTCCACTGGAGTGCCGGGAAACCAGGTTTGTCTGCAACTCTGTCTTCTGTATCTTTTCAACTATAGTGGACTGTCCTAGTAGCAGATGTTGTAGAATAGGTTTTTTTCTTTGAGTGAGTGCTATCTGTTTAGCCTACATCCTGAATCATGCCCTGTGCTAGCTGTTTAGCCTACATCCTGAATCATGCCCTGTGCTAGCTGTTTAGCCTACATCCTGAATCATGCCCTGTGCTAGCTGTTTAGCCTACGTCCTGAATCATGCCCTGTGCTAGCTGTTTAGCCTACATCCTGAATCATGCCCTGTGCTAGCTGTTTAGCCTACATCCTGAATCATGCCCCGTGCTATCTGTTTAGCCTACATCCTGAATCATGCCCTGTGCTATCTGTTTAGCCTACATCCTGAATCATGCCCCATGCTATCTGTTTAGCCTACATCCTGAACATGCCCCGTGCTATCTGTTTAGCCTACATCCTGAATCATGCCCTGTGCTATCTGTTTAGCCTACATCCTGAACATGCCCTGTGCTAGCTGTTTAGCCTACATCCTGAATCATGCCCTGTGCTAGCTGTTTAGCCTACATCCTGAACATGCCCTGTGCTAGCTGTTTAGCCTACATCCTGAATCATGCCCTGTGCTAGCTGTTTAGCCTACGTCCTGAATCATGCCCTGTGCTAGCTGTTTAGCCTACGTCCTGAATCATGCCCTGTGCTAGCTGTTTAGCCTACGTCCTGAATCATGCCCTGTGCTAGCTGTTTAGCCTACGTCCTGAATCATGCCCTGTGCTAGCTGTTTAGCCTACATCCCGAATCATGCCCTGTGCTAGCTGTTTAGCCTACATCCCGAATCATGCCCTGTGCTAGCTGTTTAGCCTACCCTACTGTGTGGATTCAGCTTGGACACTAAACTCAATCTTTGCCCGACACCTTTGTTGACATACAGTTGTGCAGAATAGGTCATTGTGGCAAAGACTCTGAGAATAGTGTGTTTGTTTGACTCTTTGGACCAAGGGCCAGATGAACACATGCCGCTCAACACTACAGCCCTGTGAGAAACTGTCATTGTTGTATACACATGCCGCTCAACACTACAGCCCTGTGAGAAACTGTCATTGTTGTATACACATGCCGCTCAACACTACAGCCCTGTGAGAAACTGTCATTGTTGTATACACATGCCGCTCAACACTACAGCTCTGTGAGAAACTGTCATTGTTGTATACACATGCCACTCAACACTACAGCTCTGTGAGAAACTGTCATTGTTGTATTCAGCGCTGAGCGCAATCGTCGTCATCGGAACTCACAGTCACTAGCGGGACATTGAGCCCCTAACAGCTCTGTTGCATCCCGCAGTGTGTTATGTTTGGTGTGGCGTTCTTTTATGTTTTTAATTTGTACACTTTTGTTTGTAAACCATCTGTCAATGATGGCTTTACAGTTGCTGCGGGGGGTGTTGGACTGATCTTGTTGATCGTGTACATACCCACTACAAACGGACTAAATTATGAAAACGCTGCTGGCAGTGGAATCCAATACAGCAGAGAGTTCCTACTGCAATGCAACTCAAACACGAATGCCATGGATATCCCAATGGCCCATCTAATCCCTGATTTGTCTGGGAGTCGATTACAAACCCAAATGCAAACGTGGAAAACGCAGGGGGAATCAGACAAAGACTTTTAAAACTTAACACCTTGCTGATCAATGCCCAGTCACTGAGGGGGAAAGCGGATGAGCTGTCAGCGAATCTGCGCTTCCAACACGAATACCGGGAGGCCTGTTTGCTGGCGTTTTCTGAGACTTGGCTGGATGACAGAGTCCCGGACAGGGAAGTGGAGCCGGATGGCTTCACACTGGTCAGAGCGGACCGTGATCGTCACAGGGAAACGTCACTGCGGGGGCATCTGCCTGCTTGTCAGGGACCAGTGGTGTAAATCGATCCTGGTAAGAGAGAGACTCCCGACATTGAACTGCTTTCTGTGTCACTGCGACCCTACTATCTGCCCCGTGAGTTCCCCCAATTGTTTGTTACCCTTGTGTACATTCAACCAAAAGCTAACATAGCAAAGGCATCAGAGATTATTTATAATCTGTCACAGAAACTGGAATCCATCTCCCCCGACGCAAACCCACATTTATTTTAGGGGATTTTAACAACTGTACTTTGCACAAGGTCCTGCGCACGGACCACCAGTATGTGAAATGTCACACTAGGAAAAAAGACTATTGATTTGTGCTATGGGACAATACCACATGCTTTCACTGCCACCACCAGACCTCCTCTTGTGACATCAGACCACAGTGTTGTCTACCTCCGGCCTGCCACCACCAGACCTCCTCTTGTGACATCAGACCACAGTGTTGTCTACCTCTGGTCTGCCACCACCAGACCTCCTCTTGTGACATCAGACCACAGTGTTGTCTACCTCCGGCCTGCCACCACCAGACCTCCTCTTGTGACATCAGACCACAGTGTTGTCTACCTCCGGCCTGCCACCACCAGACCTCCTCTGGGGACATCAGACCACAGTGTTGTCTACCTCCGGCCAACCTACTGTCGGCTCCTGGAGAGGGAGAAACCTACAGTTAAAACTGTCCAGATCTGGACTGACAATAGTATCGCTCGTCTCCAAGGGTGTTTTGACTGGACTATGTGGGAGGTATTTCAGGACAGCTCTGATCTGAATGAACTCCCAGATGTTGTTTCAGACTATGTACACTTCTGTGTTGCGCCGACTAAAACAGAGGAGTTGACGATGACATTCTTCCTCTCCTCAACACGGCCTATAGACATCTAGAGGGTGTTTAAATCCCATGTCAGGGTTCTGTTTTTTGGCTTTTCTTCTGCCTTCAACACAATCCAGCTTTACATTCTGCCACGGAGACTCATAAGGGACTTCTCCTTAGATGGGGGGGCTGGTTTTGTGGCTGTTGGACTTCCTGAGCCAGAGGTCACAGCGGGTCAAAGGGGGGTCCCCACGTTTCAGACATACACACCACCAACACAGGCTCTCCTCAGGGATGTGTTTTTTTCCCCACTGAACATCTTGTACACTAATAGTTGTACTAGTTCCCATCCTGACAGACACCTAGTTCCCATCCTGACAGACACCTAGTTCCCATCCTGACAGACACCTAGTTCCCATCCTGACAGACACCTAGTTCCCATCCTGACAGACACCTAGTTCCCATCCTGACAGACACCTCGTTCCCATCCTGACAGACACCTCGTTAAGTTCGCTGATGACGCTGCCCTGATCAGCCTGTTGCATGGTGAAGAGGAACACCGTGGCCCGGTCCTAAACGACTTTGTAGAGTGGTGTGACGAATCACTACTTGGTCCTCAATACCAACAAGACCAAAGAGATGTGCATAGACTTCAGGAAGCGTACAACACCTACCTCGGCAACATCTATCAGAGGTCAGAACGTAGAGATTGTAGAGGAATACAAATATCGGGGTGTCCTCTTGGTCAATAAGCTTCAGTGGAGTGAATGTACAGACCTGATCAACAAAAAGAGTCAACAGAGACTGTACTTTCTCAAAAGCTGGGATCTTTTAATGTTGACTGTACTATACTGACTCTGTTTTACAAATCTTTCATTGAGAATATTTGAACTTTTTGTATTGTTTGGCAATGCCGCTGTCAGCCAGAGAAATGTGCTGAGAAGGATTATCACCATAGCAAGCAAGGTACTTGGAGTCAGACAGACAGGCCTGGATGAGATCTTTAAGATCAGAGCCCTCTGCAAGGCTCACAAAATCATTTTTTTGACCCAAGCCACCCCCTGTAGCCAGACCCAAGCCACCCCCTGTACCCAGACCCAAGCCACCCCCTGTAGCCAGACCCAAGCCACCCCCCTGTACCCAGACCCAAGCCACCCCCCTGAACCCAGACCTAAGCCACCCCCCTGTAGCCAGACCCAAGCCACCCCCCTGTACCCAGACCCAAGCCACCTCCTGTAGCCAGACCCAAGCCACCCCCCTGTACCCAGACCCAAGCCACCCCCCTGTACCCAGACCCAAGCCACCCCCCTGTACCCAGACCCAAGCCACCCCCCTGTACCCAGACCCAAGCCACCCCTGTACCCAGACCCAAGCCACCCCCCCTGTACCCAGACCCAAGCCACCCCCCTGTACCCAGACCCAAGCCACCCCCCTGTACCCAGACCCAAGCCACCCCCCTGTACCCAGACCCAAGCCACCCCCCTGTACCCAGACCCACCCCCTGTACCCAGACCCAAGCCACCCCCCTGTACCCAGACCCAAGCCACCCCCCTGTACCCAGACCCAAGCCACCCCCCTGTACCCAGACCCAAGCCACCCCCCTGTACCCAGACCCAAGCCACCCCCCTGTACCCAGACCCAAGCCACCCCCCTGTACCCAGACCCAAGCCACCCCCCTGTACCCAAACCCAAGCCACCCCCCTGAACCCAGACCCAAGCCACCCCCCTGTACCCAGACCCAAGCCACCCCCCTGAACCCAGACCCAAGCCACCCCCCTGTACCCAGACCCAAGCCACCCCCCTGTACCCAGACCCAAGCCACCCCCCTGAACCCAGACCCAAGCCACCCCCCCTGTACCCAGACCCAAGCCACCCCCTGTACCCAGACCCAAGCCACCCCTGTACCCAGACCCAAGCCACCCCCCTGTACCCAGACCCAAGCCACCCCCTGTAGCCAGACCCAAGCCACCCCCCTGTACCCAGACCCAAGCCACCCCTGTACCCAGACCCAAGCCACCCCTGTACCCAGACCCAAGCCACCCCCCTGAACCCAGACCCAAGCCACCCCCCTGAACCCAGACCCAAGCCACCCCTGTACCCAGACCCAAGCCACCCCCCTGAACCCAGACCCAAGCCACCCCTGTACCCAGACCCAAGCCACCCCCCTGTAGCCAGACCCAAGCCACCCCCCTGTACCCAGACCCAAGCCACCCCTGTACCCAGACCCAAGCCACCCCCCTGTACCCAGACCCAAGCCACCCCCCTGTACCCAGACCCAAGCCACCCCCCTGTACCCAGACCCAAGCCACCCCCCTGTAGCCAGACCCAAGCCACCCCCCTGTACCCAGACCC